GATATGCCTCCGACAAATATCCAGATATTCTGGGTTTTCGTGAACAGTGAAGGTATTATTCATACAAAATGTTAATTTGGGTTTGTGGACCCATGATTGGCTACTGTGGACTTCTGTAATTATTAATTTAAGTCAGAATCTAAGTGATTTAGGGCTTATGGCTTTGTGAGAAGCCTAAAGACGTAAAACGTAAAGGAAAGGCGTTGTCTTTGTGTCTTATGCTTGTTAAGCATGATTATTGATATATTGTTGGTCCGAAACAGATTGTGATTCTACTGTGTTTGGGCTTTGAGCTAGTGTGGACTCTTGGCAGTGGATAGTTAGCTTGCAAGGTAAGCTTTCGTGTCCTCGGTTTGGCCATTGTTAGTTCCACCATACCACGTGGGGGAACGGTTTATATGCATGATGTGTTTTCATGCTTTGATGATTGGAATGCTTTTGAACTGTTATGTGTAAGGGCCTTATAATATGCATATGTTGTTCCACTTTGACAGTAATCCTGAGTATGTAGCGTCATACAAAATGGTGAGACTGGGGTGAATGCAAGTAGCGTCTTGCACTATTTGTTGGAGATAGACGTATATCCTGCATTTCTCTGGCCAGTAGATTATATTGACACGCATGACATGGTGATCTGTGCATTACACTGACTTTGGAACTTATATATATTGTGTAAACTGCTTTAGAACTTATATTGCACATATAAGTGAGCTTGGGGTGGAAGATCCTTGAGGACCCCTTGTCTTACTGAGATTTCTTTTTAGAGATCTCACCCGACGTTTGGGGCGCATATTTCAGGTTCAGGTAATGCGGGGGTTGAGACCTCTAGCGGCAGGAGGCCGGAGCTGAGTTAGATGTCTGCTGTTATGATTATATGCTGGATGTTGTTATGTTATCTTTATGATTATGCTATTATTGTTGAGACTGTTGTTGGGCCTTGTTGCCTTAATTAGTGAGCATGGGGATTGTCCATGCCACATTTGATTATGTTGTTGATTAGATTTGGGTTGTATAAACTATTAGGGTTGTCCAGCTTACATGTTGTAGTGTCGTGACTAGAGACTCAATTAATGATCTTAATTATGTTATGAGGTTATTCAATATAGATGTCTGTCTTTTGCATTTACATACAGACAATGTTTTGGAAATGAATTAAGTAATTCAACTTGGTAAGGATAATGACGTCATAATTGAAAAGAAAAAGAATATTCCGCATTTTTAATTAAGCGTGGCTTAATACGATGACATGTTAACAAACCGGGTTAACACGGGGTGTTACATTATCTGACTTATGACAAGTGCAGGTGCAGATAAATCGACGACTCTGTCTTCTTGACCAAAATATGGTTCACTTCTTGTATGCATGGGTGCAGATGAAGATTGACCACAATCTAATTCAACATATATCTCAATAAAATTTTGAAACTTTTGGGTCAACAATTGCATCTATGACATATTCCACATCTTCATCATCACATATATCGTTACCAATGTAGTATATAGCATCCTTACCAACTGTAGACTCTACCCTGGCGATCATCCGCTGAATGCATTGGCTACCTTGCAGACCCAATTTTTGGTGAATTCTCCCCTTTAGCTCATTGTATGTAGTGCCCCGTTTGATTTTCAACATTTTCGTTTTTCCTTCAAATTGAACATCGTTGGAGCCTTCATAATGCTTTCCATCATAGTAGATCATTATTACATACATGTTTGGACTTGTGCTCATCTTTCACACGAATTTGGGAGTAGGATTCTGAAATTGGGGGTTTGGGTTCGAATTTTAGGGGTTTGGAGTTGTGCAGTAACAATGATTTCACAATATTAAGGCTTTAGGGACGGTGGGATAAAATACAATGGGATTGCAAGGATTACACATGAAAAACAAGAGATATTTTGGTTTACACAACGATAATATTCGAAATGAGTCCGAGAACTTGCAAATTATGGGGTTTCTGCCGACATTTAATCGACTAAATAATTGTTGTAGTCGATTAAAAATCTCAAAATTTAATCGATCAAGAGGGATTTTTAATCGACTAAATTTCGTGTCACTGCAATTTCTGAATTTTGACGATTTAATTGACTAAAACTTCAAGTTAGTCGATTAAAAAGGGGCAGGTTGGTGGATAGTTCTGATGAGGGGCAATTTGATTATTAATTAATTAATGAGGAGCAATATGGTCGAAAAGCCGGAGAACTTCACCTTAAATTTTCTTTGATTAGTATTTCAATCTCATTCAAGGGTGAGTCAACAGGAATATAAGCTAAGTAATTTATAGGAATTTGAACAAAATCAGTCTAAGGCTCAAAGGGGCTACCAATGAAAAAAAAATTCTTTTCAGGTGGGCTATTTGGCCAAGTGGTTAACAAGAAAAAAATGCATTTATCATTTCAATTTATCATGCATCACAAAGAAACATATCAAGTTCTAGAGTACCACTACAGTGAGGTCTCTCCAAAAAATAATTATTGTATATGATCAAATCTCACAGGCTGTGGTGTAAAGCTAGAATCTAATTCCTAATTTTCACATCAAAGCTTTATCTAAAAATTCTCAAAAAGAAAATCACACAAAAGAGCAGTCATATTCTCTAGATAATATTTAATGCAATGTCATGACAGAAAAATTATTTTGAATTCTCACAGTTTCACTTGTGCCTCCTAGAGTTTATTCATATTTATTAACTAATTCAGGTCATGCTACTTTGGAAAAATAATCAGAGACACCAATACCAATAGAATAGAAAACATACAACTAAAAAAAATAAAATAAAAATTCAAAAGGTTTGAGATATCTCCCCTGAATTTGAAAATTCCTGTTGAGCATATCTATTCCTCTCTCTGTATTCATCAGTACAAGCATAATATGCACCCAATTCCCAAATTTAAAACATTGTTGTCCCCAGCAATAATATTAAACCAAAGGATTGTGCGAACTAAGAATACACATCTAGATCAAAACAAGATATTGATAACATGAGAATATGTACAAGAATTATCAAAATAAGAGTATATATCTGCATAGTAAAAGAAAAATAAAATAAAATAAAATAAATAAAATCAAGAAAATAAAAAAGAGATGGTGACATCAGAAAATATGTGATGCTCAGTCAGAAGTCTCTCATCAGTGGTAGTATCATCTATTGTTGCCTTTGACTTCTTTTGCCTTGTAGTTGTACTCTGAAAATCAGAAAAATTCCAATGACATAAAAAATTTAACATGTAAATATCACAGGCATACCAACCAATTCTCAGATTTACTGTGAACAATTTGAACTTATACTATTTGGTTGCTGAGTATATCGGTCCAATGGTAATTAGGAGATACAAATTAAGTACTGTTGAATAAGTAAACAAGAAAATCAACAAAATACCACACAAGTCCATTATCAATTTACTTGATTTCATGCATTCCTAATAACCATTAGATGCATTTAAAAGCACGTGGATGGTAGTAACCATCGAAGTATAATGGCAACCAATAATATAAGAACATGTAACGCAAATTAAATATCTTAAATACAATGGCAGCCTTTACCATCTAAAGCACAACTATGTCCATTCATAAAGAACGCGTCAACACCATATGGACTTCCAAGTAACTCATATATAAACAAAACTAACACCACTATTCAATAAAACTTCAAATGGTATTCTGATAAATAAAATAAGATTTTACAATCAGAATCAAATAAGAACCATGTATTCTCCAAAAGTTTTCCATAATAAAAAAAAAAATATGATGTGGTGTGTGTAGACTTTGGTAGTGAGGTTTGGATATGGATTATGTAGATGGGTGGTTAGTATCGTGGGGCGGTGATTGGGTTTGTGAGGTGTTGAGGGATAATGGTGGCTGGAGTTGTGCGGTCACCGGCAGTGGAGATGAAGATGGGAGGGGGAAGGAGGATGATGGTGGCTAGCGGAGATGGGTATAGCTGGGGTTGTGTGGGGCGGTGATGGTGGGCTGATGACGGTGGTTCGCCGGTTTTGTGGGGTATTTGGCTGGGCAGTGGTTGAACAATGGAGGAGGTGAAGGCTGTTGGTGCCGGCGGTTCTCGGTGGTGGTTAGTTGTGCGGTTGTGGCTGGTGGTGGTCACCAGTGTGAAGAAGTGGTTGAAGACGGTGAGGGTTGTTGGTGGTGGTTGTCACCAGACCTTGGTGGTCGTGCGGTTATGGAAGAGGAGGGTTTGGGTGGAAGTGGTGGTCCAATGGTTTGCTTGTTGAAGATGAGGAAGAGTGGTGCTGTGTCTATGGTTTGGGGAACGATGGAGGAAGAAGATGGTTTGGTAGAGGAAAGTTTCTAAACAAAATAATAAAATAAAACAAGAAAGAACTCAATACAAGATTTAACAAACCCCACTTGATACGCGAATTTGTCCTTTGTTAACTTATAGACTATAGTCAGAAACCACTCCCAGTGGCGTTTTGATACGTCAATTTGGAGTACGAGGGCGGACGATGATGGTTTACGCACGGCAAGCACAAGATTTTGGCGTTTCGATACGCCAATGTGGCGTATGAGTCCCTGGTGCCCTAATGACACTCCTTTGCTTTTCTCACAAATTTTTCATTCACCTGAAATTTTTACAACCACATTCTTAAATTAAAATACACCATCTCTTAACCAAATTAAAAAATTAAAAAAAATTAAAAAATTAAAAAAATTAAAAATTAAATTAAATTTTAAAATTGGAAAACTTTTTGGATTGCCTCCCAATTAGCGCTTATTTTACGTCATGAGCCTCGCATACCCCTCATGATTATGGTGGTTGGAAGCACGATATCATTGATGAACCAGTCTTCTTGATCCAATATTGTGTCCTTCCATAATACTCCTGCGCAGATGAATGAGAAGAAGTTGTCTCAAGAGCTCAAAATTTAGTTTTCACATGCTTTTCCTTGCTCCTGGGTTTTTCCATCTTAACTTTTGGCTTGCCTTCCTTATACTTTTGATGGGTTTTCTTCTTGTTTATTTCCTCAACATTTTTTTCAACAAATCAGTAAACTTGACCTTTAGGTTTCCTGATCAATTCAACTAGCTTTTCTTTCTGTGCATTTGAAACTTCAGTTGAATAGATGGCTTTAACTACCTCAGTTAGTTGATCATCTTTCAGTAGCTCTGAGGAGTGCAAAATGTCTGCAAACTGATCTTCAACAGTGGGAGGATTTGCTTCTTCAAGGATCTTCTCTGAAACTGTTTCTTCTATTACATCGATCTAGAAACAATCTTCTTTATCTTCAGGATGCTTCATGGCCTCAAAAACATTCATTTTGAATTCAGCACCATTAACTCTAAAGATCATCTATCCTTGCTCCACATCAATCAGTGTCCTAGCAGTTGCTAAGAATGGTCTCCCCAAGATGAGAGGCATGTTGTCATCTTCCTCCATGTTAAGCACAACAAAATTAGCTGAATATATATAATCATTTACCTTTACAAGGACATCTTCTAGCACTCCTTCCGACCTTTTGATGGATCTATCAGCAAACTGGAGAGACATCAAGGTAGATTTCAACTCTGTAATCCCTAAAGATTGTGCAAAAGAAAGAGGCATGAAGTTAACGCTGGCTCCTAGATCACAAAGAGCTCTTCCAACTTTGACATTCCCAATAACAGGGATACTGAATCTCCCTGGGTCTTTGACTTTAGATGGCAACCCTTTTTTTATCACAACACTACTCTCCTCAGTTAAAGCTATTGTTTCCATCCGTCTAAGCTTATGCCTATTTGACAAGAGACTCATCATGAATTTTGCATAAAAAGGCATGTTCTCCAAAGCTTTGGAGAATGGAATGTTAATTTGCAGCTTTTTAAACATCTCCATAAATTTTGAGTATTGTTGCTTCTCTTTATCTTACTTTTGCAGAAGAGGGTATGGAGCTTTTGCATAAGGATCTGGTTGACTGAATCCTGATGGAAGTTTCTTTGTAGTTTTCTTATTACGATTAATCGCTCCTCCAAAGTAGGTTACATCATCATAATTAGGAGTCTCTTCTTTCTTAGTATCCTCTTCTTTTGTCTCTTCCTCCTTTAGCACTTCTTTGTCTACCTTGGTTGGCTTATCTTGAGGTTCAATCACCTTCCCACTTCGAGTGGTGATTGCACTACAATACTCTCTTGGATTAACTACAGTGTCACTAGGCATTGTCCCAGGAGTTCTTTCATTCAATTGCTTGGCCAGCTGTCCAATTTGAGTTTCAAGATTTCAGATTGAAGCCTCCTGATTCTTGATCGATGCCTTTTGAGTCTTGAAGTTCGACCTTGTCTCTTGAATAAAAGCGTTGATGGTTGAAGCCATGGTCTCCGCCAATTTCTCCAAAGCTGAAATTGAGCTAGATGGAACAGGTTGTTGTGGTTGTGTATTGTAAGAGAGACCTGAGTTATTCCTCCAACCCGTGTTGTTGTTGCCTTGGTAGTCGTTCCTTTGCGGGGTTCCCATATAATTGACTTCTGAAGGTTGAGCTAACGGGCAGCTCGCAGTCAAATGTCCTTTAGCACATATGTCACATACTACTGGTTCCTCAGCATTGATGGCAAAGATTTGATTCTTAGCAACTATCTTTGTCAGAGATTCCATCTGTTTCTGGAAACTCTGTGGACCAGTCATTAAGATGTCAAGTCTATCCACTTGCAAAATGCCTCTTTTTGAGCTAAGTACATCCTCATTCTCCTCAGCAGCTAATTCTTCAATGAGTTATAGAGATGCAACTGAAGCTTTGTTAACTAATGATCCATTAGTAGTCGTATTCAGGAATTTTCTATCAGCAAAGCATATACCATGGTAGAAGAGCCTCACTTTATCTCCTGCTTGAAGAGCATATTGTGGAAAAGCGGTCAATAAGCCTTTGAATCTCCTACAAGCCGCACCAAACAATTCATCATTATGTTGAGAGAAATGATCAATCTCTCGTTTCTTCTGCATGAATTTAGAAAGAGTAAAGAACTTCTTTCTAAATTTAACCACCAAGTCATCCCATGAAGTGATGCTCCCTTCCGGTTTATTCCTTAACCATGCTTTTGCTTTTCCTTTCAATGTAAAAGGAAAAAGAATCAGACGAATAACATCAATGCTAACTCCATTATGCTTGTTAAGCGGACATAGTTCCAAAAATCCCGACACATGAAGATTGAGATCATAGTCGTCCTCCCCTGAAAATTGATTGTTCTAGAACATCTGCAAGAAGGCCGGATGAACTTTAAAGTTGTTGGCCTGGATTGGAGGAATGATGATTGCAGAAGAGACAGGTGCAAATGATGGGTTGAGGAATTTCTCCATGGTATCCTCATGAGGTATTTCTTCAGCCATAGTTGATGTTCCTTCTTAGAAGAGTGATCGGTTCACTCTTTCTTTTTCTTTTCGCTCCTTAGTTATCATTCTGTTCTTCCTTGTTATCTTTTCAATTTCTGGTTGGTAGAGCAAGTCGTTTGGATCAACTGTACCTCGCATAAACCAGAATTTTTAAAAAATCAGTAAGGGTAAAAAAAAATAAAAGTCTAATCTTGAACACCACATATACTACTATTGTAGATTTTTAGTCCCCGGCAATGGCGCCAAAAACTTGTTGCGAACACGACAAGTATACCGGTCGTACAAGTAATAAAGTGATTAAGTAAAAATATCATTCCCACGAGGACTAATTTCAAGCAATAGTTTCACCGTTTTTATCTAAGTTAGACAATTCAAAAGTAAATTCGCAAGTAACCAATCTTTAATTAAAAATTAAATATAAATGACTGTAAAAGAAATTAATTAAAAAGATAATTTGAAATAAACATTGAGTTTTAAAATCAAAAATAAAAATGCAGTTAGGTTTACTTCACCTCTGATCCCCCTTAATTGGTTTAATTATAATTCAATAACATTCTATCTCAATTATTTCAAACAATTCATTATCTAGAAATTAATTGGTTAAATCCTAATGTCTTAGAAATTCCTTTTAGATTAAGCCTTAAGCGCGATGAATTATAAAAGTTTGCAATTCCTACAAGCCTATGTCTAGATCATGCAAGAATTGGTGTTCTACTCCTGTCTAGATCAAGATCTCAATATGTCTATTGTGAACCCTAATCCTCTTTATCCCTATGTAATTGGTCAGATCATACAAGAATTTAAACATGCAAATTAAGGTAAACACAAATAATTTGAGACAGTTTATTAATGAAAAGAATTAAACCAAAACAAGGATTCACGCTGGATCCATATTCCTAACTACTAAAAAAACTAGCCAGACATAGCTAGCTTAAACAAAACAAAGAAAGAAAAAGAAATCATAAAGAAGAAGAAGAAGAAGAATCAATATTGCTCAGTCTCCTCAAGCTCCTCTTTCTCTGAAATCTCCACCTCTCGACTCTGGTGTTCTCTTCCTTCCTCAGAATGTGCTTGCCTCTGTCAAATTGTGCCTTTGTGTTTCCAAGAGATGCCTTTTTATAGGGATGAAATCATATCTTTTAATTTTCATAATATCTTCAATGGAATCTTCACTAGAATCTCTAATCATATGTTTGATCCAATCCTTCAAATCTTCCCCTTTTTATTTAATGGAAAGTTTTCCTTAAAATTATTCAAACGAAGATTTGATAAGATCTTGAACGATTCAGAAATCCAAAGCAACTCTACTTGATATCTCCAATTTATCTCTTTATTGAGTTAAAATTTACTGCAAAATATAAGAAATCATATGAGAATATTATTGAAAATAAAATAACAATTTAATTATAATTCTCATAACTTTTAATTACTTTTAAATCAACTTCATGCTCATGTTGACCCTTAATACATAGTAAATTGGAGACTTATCACTACCCGTAATCTAGGTTGCTACCTAGGAATTCTTTTACACCACAAATGGGTAAGACGTGGCACTTTTAGGCATATCTTGGATCTCCTTCACTCTAAGCTTGATTCGTGGAACCATGCAGCTTGTCATTAGGTGGTAGAGTTACTTTCTCCAAAGCAGTCCTCACGGTTACCTCATTGTAGCCGGTGCAAGCAGGTGTCTTGCCATAGAGAATTTGTGCACATATTGAAAGACAAATTCGAAGCTTTGTGTGGGGTTCCTCTAACCCGTGAAAGCATTCCCATCTTGTAGCTTATAGTCAGGTTTGCTTGACGAAATACCAGGGAAGACTGGGCGTAAGGAGAATGAAATACATGAATATTGCCTTCATTATAAAGATAGGTCATAGTATACTTACCAAACTCAAAGCCTTACGGGTTAGGGTGCTTGGAAGTAAGTATAATGTGGGAGTAGGGATGTTGCCCTTTATCCAAGCTCCAAGGAATAACTTGAATCTTTGGGAAAGGATTGTCCATTGTTGACAAATGATTATAGATCACCTTAGCATCTTATTAGGGGATGGAAGGAATACCTGCTTCTAGATTAATCTTTGGCTACTAAACCCCCTCCTTTATTATGCCACGTCAATGGTCCCTTTTGAGGTTGTTAATCGACTTGCTTCAGAGTACGTCAATTACTCTAGCTTTTGGATCTGGGAATCCTTTCAACACCTCATCGCTGGCCACATTGCAGCCTGGATTGCAAATATTATACCCTTTTTTCAACTGGAATATCATGATCGCGTAACTTGGGCAGAGACGCCTGGTCGAATTTTTTTGGTAAAGTCAACTTATAGGCTGTTGTCTAATAATTGCAATCTAGATGCTAACCTCAAATGGGATCAGGATTGGAGACGGGAGGGGCTGTAAAGAATTCTCACCTTCCTATGGTTGTTGATGGGGAGCTCATGACCAATGCCAGACAATTCTAGCGCAACATGGCATCCTTGGAGGCGAGTCTTAGATGTCAACTAACTAGTGAGACCAACCTGTATGCGGTAAGGGACTTTGTGGTTCCTTGGAGAAGTGGCGGATGATTGTTAGCCGCAACTGCTGGGATAACTTTTTAAACCTAAATCTCCAGGATTGGTTGTTGGCAAAGTAGAAAGCAAAAGGAGTTGGGGTAGCGACCCGAACTAGTCTTTCCTTTTTTTGCATCACCACCTAGTTTGTCTGGCGATCTAGGAACACAATGGTCTTTGAAGCATTTCAAACTACTTAGAGCTTAGTTAATGAGGCAACGAGGTATCGCGATATCATCCTTCAGGCTAGAGACATGCTAACTACTACTGGACTATAACCTAGGGCTCGTTTAGGGAGGTTAATTTTATGGTCTTTTCCACCTTTATACTGGATCAAACTAAATTTTGACGGAGGCAACTCATCGAACGTCGCATGTTTTAGCTGCGGTGGGGTTATCATCGACTGCTCTGTCATTTGGGTTGTTGGTGTAAGAAATTTCAAAATAGGATTATATGAAATTAGAACACCAAAAGATTCAGACTTACTTGTTGAAGACATCATTCTTGATTTCTTGAAGGCTTCTTGTTTCCTCTGATGATCCTGCAATAGAAAGACCAGGATCTTCCTCTGCAATTCACACCACTCCCTGATTACAACCGTCGATGGGGCGAGTTGTGGAGTGACGATTTTCTAACACATTGTGAATGCAGAGGGGACCTAGCCAATTTATTAACCCTAGTCCCCTTCCCATCATAGACCTATGGGTTAGGCCTACACTGTTACCCACACTAATCAGTTTACAGATATCCAAGCCCAAACAAAAGGATCACTAATTAACTGGGCTTTATACTGCACCCGTATATGGATCATGACTTAGCCTGTTTTTATTAAAACAAGAAAAACTACAATTGATTAAAGCCCACAATTATTATAAAAATTTCTTACATTCTACATTCTCCCACTTGGGCAAAATCAATTGTAAAATTTTAATTTAAAAAGAGAAAAGGAAAACAAGTTATTTGAAAATGACTCTCGAGCTAAGGACTAATTCTTATAATGTGGCCACATTTTAAGAAAACACATGATCCAAGGTGCGATATCTGAATATGACTCCATCCAACTAAAATCAAATAACATTGAATCAGGCGGTGATTATACCCTTACCGATATAAGACCTTCCATGGTCACAAATGTTACTTGACTCCGTCGACTAGTCATTAGTGTGGAGTGTAGCAAGAAAATAGCATGCCAATATGATCCAATAACAGCCAAACTGCTATTTTCTCTGTCAGTCCTCAAATTTGTCTCAAATGCCTTAAAGCCAGAGAAATTCCATGGTTTATCAA